AGAATCCTTAGCCTCAACGTTTGATGAAGGTGAGGGATATCTTAGAGTTCTTTTCCAGTCAGAACCTAGGAAGACGGAGTCTCTGGTTAGTTAAAAGGATGCTTGTTTGAACCTATCCAGTGAGTCTTGGGAGAGAGACTTAGTGATTTGTTCATGAAATGTCAGACTCAGGATAGACATCTCAGTGAAATTTTCAATTAGGATAATCTTGGAGATTATCAACAAGGATGCATGTAGGTCATGGTCACTACCATCTAAAAGAAGGGGGGAGATCACAACTGACCCTCTTCCTCCCAAGAACTGCTTTAATTTCCTCCTATTGCATTTTGTTTTCTTCTTCTCTAGTTCTAACAATTTCCCATCAATTTTCCATAATGTGGTGACCTATCTGTTGCTGTGCTTTAGGAAACCATGTCACCAGTATTGGAAATACCAGCAAAGTCATCTGTAGTAGATGACTTTCAGCATAAGTTCAAGACTATAGAACCTAAAAATCAAGACTGTTCTTTCTGAAGTAATGTCAGTTTAAAGACTAAGGCTAGCATGTCACCAAACATGGAATTTTAATGACTCCATATGCACATGAGAGATGGGCAATTAATAAGTAAGAATCAGGTGGAATCAATGTTTTGGGTCGTGATGTCAATGAAAAATTGAGTATATGATTGACTTCAAAAAGTAATAATAAATTTGTCTTCAAATAAATAAAATCAGGGTTCTCCTTAGAAGCAAGTATGGTAAGACTTCACCTCACATCCTTTGGGCCTGTTGTCAGGTAGGGTCAGTCATTTGAAACAAGGACATTTTGCTTGATCAGAAAAAGACCAGCCAAAGAAAGGAAGTGTCCTTATCTGACTCCTACATTAGACTCCAGAGTGACTCAGCAATGGGTTTTAGTACAACAGAAATTGTGTGGATGGTGCAGGATCAGGCAAGGTTTCTTTCTGCTCTACTTACTCTATTATGGATTGGATACACCTTGATACCATCTAACTATAAAATGTGTTTAACTGTGTAATAATATTAGACTTAATGTCTATAAGCCTTTGATTATTATAATGTTCGCACGTTTTTATGCATGGTTCTCCTGTGTTAATGTATGTATGGTTGTCAGAAAATTTGATTAGTATAGATTTGCAATCATGTATATGTGTATGAGTATGTGTATGTGGAAAGTTTCCCTAATTTTTTCCTATTATAAGTAGGATTTTATGTTTATGTATGATTTTTACTAAATTAATATTAAAAGATAACCATTAGATTGATTTTGTTAAATTTCCCTCCAAGAATTCATTTATTTTATTTTTTGTTTGCTTTACAAAGTTCATATACATTGTCATTCACACTATTATTCATTCACGTTGTGTTTCATACACTTATTCTCATTCATTATGTTTTAAAAAATTAATCATTGTTAGATTATGCAAACTAATACCTTGTCTTTTCTAGTCCCCATCAGATCATTTCCATTTCCTTTACCTCCTCCCTCTACCTACCAAATTGTGCAAACCTGTGTATTTTGCCCCTACCCGTCCTCACCCCTCTAGTCAAACACCTTCCCTCCCTTAGATCCCCATACTTTACTAATCATCTTTTTATTTTTACAATACATTCTTAGGCAGTATATCCTTATGAAACTGAGTTAGTGACTCAGCATCATTCTTTTCAGTCTCTCCAAAGTTATGTAGTATTTTTCCCAATCATTGCTCCTGAGTTCTGCATAATATTCCATTGTTTGATAGTACCACAATTTCTCAAGCCATTCACCTTGGTTGGACATTTGAACTATTTACACATTCTTGTGATGGATGATAACACTGCTATGAACATTGGTGTACAAATCTCTATGCCTCAGTTCTAATTTCCTTGGAGTAAACTGTTGGTATTGGAATAATTGGGTCATAAGGAGTTTCAATGCTAAAGTTTGTTGAGGAAATGCCAAATCGCCTTCCAGAATGGTTGCACCATTTTATAATCCCTTCAACAATATAAGAGTTCCTATCTCTCCAATTCTCTCTAACATGTATTCATTTATACTGCTGAACTTTGCCATTGTTACTGGTGTAAGACGGTATCTCATTGTGGTTTTGATTTCTCCCTCTTATTCCCAGTGATTTTGAGCATTTCTGCATGTGTCTGTCTGATTGAGTCTTTCAATAATATATAAGGTATGTCTTCAAGTTTATAGCAATTTACTTTATTCCAGTGGAGTTATCAACTATATCTTGGTAGCTTTCTTTCAATTCTTGATTTTTAGGGTTAAAAACATGTGCAAATGTTTGTGATATGAGACTAGACACTTAGAGATCATCTTGTGAATTAAATTATATACCCTAGTGACTATTTAATTTGGTAACTGGCAACCTCTTCCCAATACTCTGATGCCCCCATACCCTGACCCCGCCTTTCTATGGTTCTTCTATCAGTGCATTCTTTCATTCTCACCCTTCCTGACATTTTTTACTTTTGTGCTCCTGTGTTTTGAGAATCTCCTTGGTGTCTACTTTATCACCCACACACTCACTTATTGACCTTGAGGCCCATTTTGGTGCTTGCATGAAAGATACCCAGTAAAGTCTCTCTCCTACAGAGTCAGAGGTGCATTCAAGGGGTCACCTCTGGGTCAGCGGCACAACTCTCTCCAGATTATACCTCTAAGCACCTTTGTTGTGGACCATCGAGTCACAACCCAGAGCTGATGAAAACCCATGGTTTTGAGAGACACAAGAAGAGATTGCAGGTGGATTCAAACCCTGTGCCTTTCTGATTGCAGTGCAGCTTCTGCATCAGAGTGCCCTAGTGTTTTCGGTTCTTTTAGTTTTTGTACCAATGTGGCCACTAGTTATACTCCTGAAAATGACAAAACAAAACCACACACACAAAATCAATAAACAAACAATTAACAAAAACTCTTTTGTATATGTGTAGATTTATGTGGTGCAAGATGCAGCTACCATTCTTGAGTGATTTAGAAAGAGTCAAATCATGTAGAGGTAAATTACAATCCTAAATGCATATTGGTAAAATGAGATGCTGATCCATTTGCACACTAATGTGCTATTTTTAAGTCATGCATCATAGCATCTTCAAAGAGGCCTGTCATAATTATGATGGATTAGACTGCAGAGTCAGCCCTCGATGCAGTAATTGTTTCACAGATGCTGCTGATGCGACTTGAATTTATAATAAATTATTGTCAGATGCAACAGACAGAGCAAAACCAAATATCAAAAGATAACTGCTGTGACTAAAACCTGTTTTGGTCTTAGGAGGCCCAAGTCTTACCTACTATTCAAGCCTCATTTTCAATTGAGATTCTTCCTAAATCTGTTTTCTGACAGAAGGAAACAATGTTAAGATACTTTTTTGAAGAAAGTATATATACTATATATAGCTCAAACTCTATTCACTAGCTAAAATCTGAGAGTGAACATATACTATACTGCACATCTTTTTTATATTAAATAAGTAATTATAATTTTACCTTTCACCTCTTAACATGTTTTTGGTTCCTTAAATGTCCATGTATACACAATATTGAGTTATTGGGGGAAAAATATAAAATATAAATCATACCTGGTGGAGAGTCAGTGAAAAAAGATACCTTCAGTGAGATGAAATGACACAGTGGCAGTAATCATTGTGAAGATGGCATAGATTCAGACAGTGTTTAGTGTAGCTAGGTCTGAACACCTAACAGACATGGTTAGGGGCTCGGCTGCTAACCAGTAGGTCAGCAGTTAAAACCCATCATAGACTCAGCAAGCTGTCTGATTATTAAAAAGTTACCTTGGAATTGCATTATATTGCCTGCATGAGGGTATTGTATCTTACACCATAGAAATTGTTTGGAAAAACGAAGTTAATGAATCTGATTCAGACATGGACCAACACAATACAACTCCCTAAAAACTGTTTCATAACAAACTGAAGAGAACCTTGAAAGGAACAGACTGCATTATGGGTGAAACCTTATCAAAAGCTGTAAAGTAATAGAATGTAGATTTAATAAATAAGACTGAGGGAGATTCACGGAATATATAGGAAATCAGTTGGAGGGTCAGCAGTGGGAGAGCAAGTATTTCAATATTTATTTGGTAATTATTTAAATTGTACTTATATAACTTAACTCAGAGGCGCACGGTTCAAATCCACCCGATGCTCTGCCAGGGAAGGAGGGACAATCTCCTCGTGTACCAGTCAGATCCGATTTGATGGTACACACACACACACACACACACACACACACACACAAAATAATAAAATAAAAAGAAAATTTTAAAAAAAAATGTATTTATATAACTTAATGTTTATTATGCTGCTGTGTGGTTAGTGTCTATTAACAGTTCATTTTTTTTTTTAATTTTTGTGTTTTAGAGTTCATTCAGAGGGCAGCCTTGTGGATAAGCCTGATGGAACAGAATAGAAGCAACCATGTTGAGGGCAAAAGACCATTCCTGACACCATCTCCTCCTGCCGTTTGCCTGGCAGACTCTCCAGCTGTACAGTCCCAGAATCGAAGACCATTTCTTGAGAAACCTCATTCAGAAGTAAATGGAGACACCAAGTGGCACCCAGGCAGTAGTCATTTTGCACTATGCCCCGAGAAAGCAAGCCAGGGTTGCCGTCTAAGTCCAGGCCTGATGCAAGAAGAGAAGGGGTACGAGCTATTGCTTATGCAATATCAAGGAATAAAACGTACAGTTAGTGAACCTTCTCTGTCTGGGTTCTATCAGTACAAGAAATTAAAACTAAACCAAAAAGCTAATGGAAAAAGAAATAACTTCCAGGGAAACGAAGAGAAAAATCCAGGTGAAAGCAGCAGTCAACCAAATGTCTCCAATTTGAATGATAAGATAGAACCTGGGAGCTCAGTAGCTCAAGAAAATGCAGCTTTAGCCAATTTTTCAACCCAAAACTGCAGTGGGTCTGAAAATTCAGAACCTCAGATTCTGAATGAGCAGGAGGAGAAAAATGTCAACGACAATGACAAGAATATTATGTTACTTAAAAACAAAGCAGTGCTAATGCCTAATGGTGCTACAGTTTCTGACTCTTCCATGGAAAACACACATGGTGAACTCGTGGAAAAAACACTGTCTCCATATTATCCAGATTGTGTTTCCATTGCGGTGCAGAAAACCACATCTCACACACAAGCCATTAATAGCCCAGCTACTAATGAGTTGTTGCATGAGATCACTCATCCATCCCATACCTCAGGGCAGATCAATTCCACACAGACCTCGAATTCTGAGCTGCCTCCAGCACCCACCACAGTGGTGACTGAGGACCATGATGCTAATAAGACTAGTAAACCAACTGCAGTGCTTCGTAACTATCCCGTTGAGAAACCTGAAATGTCTCCATCTCCTGGAGAGGGCTGTACTCTCCAGGGAACCACAAAGCTAGTATCTGAAGAATTCTTTTCAAGTTCCGGCAACAATTCACAAGCTCCTGGTGGCAGCTCTGAATGGTATTTAAAGCAAAATGAAATGAATGGTGCTTATTTCAAGCAAAGCTCAGTGTTCGCTAAGAATTCCTTTTCTGCCATTACCACACCACTACCATCACAGTTCCTTCTTTCTTCTCCACCTCTTGTCCCACAGATCCCTCAGCTTCCTCCAGGAAGAAGAGGCATTTTTGATCAAATTTTAGAACACCACCACTTCTCCAACCAAAGTAACACAGCTCTTTTAGGGGAAGTGAAAATACAGACTCAACCAGAGGTACAACCATCCCAGAGTCCTAACTCATCTAAAGGTGTATCCAGTCCTTCTCTGATGCTTCCTGAAAGGTCTCAGAATAATTGCATTAATAAGAATGAGATACAGAATCCAGGGACATTGGCTGGTCCTTTGTGTTCTGAGGAAACAAAACAAATATCAGAACATCTCAAGTTTAATTTGCCAGTTCTTAGCAATGCAGATTCACAGGGTCACTTTCAGCAATTGACAGGACATAAAGAACAAAAGATTCTACAGGATCAAGATAAGAAACAGGCACCCCCAAAACAGTGTCATCCAAAGCTAGGTTTGATTGAATTAAAAGCCCTTCATTTTCATCAAGCTGAATCCTGCCTTAAAAATAATGAAGCATCACTGCAATCAGTTCTTCAGTCTGAATCCAATCTTTCTAGTCAGATAACCTCCAAACAATACACTGGAAATTCCAACATGTCTAGGGGACATCTAGGGCAAGCTAATGTCCAGAAAGTATTGCAGCCAGAACACAGGTCCCAAGGACAGTCTCAAGGTGCAGCAGACCAGCGTCTTGAGTTCCAAAACCCTTCATACCAGGTACAGGTCTCCAAGACTAACCCATCACCTGAAACCCACAGGCAATCAGTGCCTGCTCGTAGACTTAATTTTCTAGACCAGATTCCCAAACTGAGAAACTCAAGACCAGATCTCCAAATGGAGAAACTCATGCCCACATCATTAAACCTGGACTTGAATCAACAAATTTCAGAGACTGGGCTTATCTTGAGCTATAAGCCTCATAAGCAGGCAGCACAAACATCCCATAATACACATCTCTCTCAAAACCAGCAACAACAAAAGTTGCAAATGCAAAATAAAGAACACATACCCCAGGATATGTCACATCCCCAGAACAACAGCATCAAGCAAAGAGAAGGACTGTGTTTAGGCCAGATCAAAGTTGAAGAATGTGTTCATGGTGAAAACCAGTATTTGAAACCAAGTAAGTTCCAGACTCCTAACACCCAAATAGGACTGGAGCAAGGGCAGAATATTAATAATAGAAGTTTCCCTCACATTCAAATGCTGAAATCAAATGCAAGCAATGGACAACTCTCTTCTGTGAACAATACACTAGTTCCAGCAAGAAAAGAACAGACCCCAAGTACTGAACTTTTTACAGGAAACAAGTCTCAAAACTTGCACTTCATGCAATATTTTCCAAATAATGTGACCCCTAAACAGGAAGTTTTCCAAAGGTGCTTTCACGAACAAGAACAGATGCCTCAACCATCTTCCGCATTACAAGGATGTAATAGAAGCCAAGATACATCTGTTCAACAAGCTGCACATGTTGCTCAGCAAAGGTACTTGAAGCATAGCCATGCCAATGCTTTCTCTGTGCCTAATGTGGGAGGAAGTCATATGCAGACCCCTTCCCAAAAGGACATTCAAAAGTTTGCTGCCCTACGGTGGCATCTCTTACACAGAAAAGAACAGCAGCAAACTCAACAAGCAAGCTATAATCAGATGCAAAGGCTCATTAAAGTTGAACCTGGGTCCAAGCCTTATTCTTGTATGTGCCACAAGCCACCACATGCAGAAAACAAAATGTGGAAAAAGATACCTAAACAAGAGACTCAGTCTGTGAGCTGTGACAATGCACAGCCAAACAGCATCGTTGAAAATCATCTAAAACAGTATCAGATCAAATCCGTTAGATCGCAGAAGCAAGGAACAGTTGAAATGTCAGGATCAGTCACAGTGTTAAGTACTCGAACCAGTGCTGCAGAGCTTGATAGTCACACCTCAGCTTCAGAGCTGCAAGCAACTCCTTCTTCAGAAAAGACACCAACTAAAAGAACAGCAGCTTCTGCCCTCAATAACTTTTTAGAGTCACCTTCTAAGTTTGTAGATATGCCCATAAAAAATTTATTGGATACACCTGTCAAGACGCAATATGATTTCCCACCATGCAACTGTGTAGGTAAGTGGCAGAAAGATACTGAAACACATAGTGTTTATCCAGAATTAAGTTCGGGAACTTTTGTTGAGATCTTGAGCCTGGCAGCATGTTTTGAAAGGCTCATAATCTGAAGCTTACTTTTTTCCCCCTTCAAATTACAGAGTCCAGTGTATCACTTACTTACAACTTTTTCCAGAGAAATGGAGACAATTATGTTTTCCCCTCTCCTCAGATCCTTTAATGTCATCTTGGTGTAACAGTCACTTAACTCCTTATATATCTTATGGAGAGATAGCCAGACAGTAAGAAAAAGCCATTAAAATGAAGATAACATCCATGTGCACACTAATGAAAGTACTAAGAAAAAGAGATGGTAATATTCTATACAAGGGAGAAATGATTTTTTCCCCTTAAATAATTTCTTCTTTTAAATAAGGTTCAGCCTTTGGCTTACAATGTGCTATTTCTGATTAAAAATTACTGTAATTAAATTTGCTGA